TAGAGGGTGCCTTGACTCAGCCCCCAGCCATACACCCCAGCAGAAACAACTCCCGCTAGTGAATATTCATATTCCTGCCCCTTCATAGCAGGGTACCCCAGGAAATACCACCGGGCTTGCTTCTTCCCTCAGTCTCTGACATTTGCCAAATTTAACCACATCTGCAAACTGGGCAAAATTCAGGAGTGAGGAGTGATTACACACTTGGGCTTTGGCACCAGAAAATATTGGGCTTGAATCCCAGCCCTGCTAGTTACTGTGCAACCATAGGAAAGCTTCTCTGTCTCACCAGTCTCAGCTTTCTTTTCTGTAAAATGGAAACAATTGCAGCCACTGTTGCATAAGATTGATGTGAGGAATAAAAGTAATCATGTGTGTAAGACACTCAGCATAGTTCTTTGCTCGTGTCAACACTATCTTTTTCTTCTCTCTCTCACAATGTGGCTCCTGGTCACCTCTCCAATCTCACCTGTCTCCCATGGTCAGCAACACTGACATATGAGCTGTTACCTAAAGGTAAAAGTCCTTTTTACTAATTCCAGTTTTCTGCACATTTCCCTTTACCAGGAACATTCTTTCCAGTGCCTTTGGCAGGCAAGTGCCTATTTATGCTTCAGATCTCAAGCAGAGGCAGATCTAAGTTTTATGGGGCCTGAAGCATAGACAATTTGTCTGGGAAGAGGCTTTAAAAAATATTTTAAAAATAAATTCAACATTAGCTATGAAATGAAAGAATATTTAGAATGAAAACAAAACCACAACAAATAACTGGTGCCTTAAAGATTCAGGTCCCTTCTGTGATCTCTTTGGACAATGTGGCAGAAATGCTTAGTAAATGAACTTCCCATTGCATCTTGACTTCTCCTTCCCACCTAGAACATGATACAACTCCCAGTATTCACTGTGGGGTCTGAGGCTTAAGCTTTATAAACTTCAGGGTAAATTCACCTCTAATCTCAGATTTTATGTCACTTTCTCTCTGAGTCTTCTCTGAACCTCCAAGAGCAGAGCTGGAGGCCTTATCTGTGTCTTTAGGACCTCTTGGGTTATAGTTTCATCATAGCTCTTACCTCTGTGAATTGAAATCACCAGGTTGGGTGTCTGTCTCTTCAAATAGACTATGAGCTCTAGAAACCAGGGCTAGTTTCTTGTGTGCTAGTCTACCTTCAGTGCCTAGTCCAGCACTGGGCTCACAGGAGACTGTTTAAATATCTGTTGAACTAATGAGTAGATATCAGGCTTACCCCCTCTAACTTCAGGGAACCCTGATTCTTCAGACTTGAGAATTCTCCTCCCTGCTCTTTCTAGATGCCCACAGCCTCACAATTTCAATCCTGTGACACTAAAATATTTCCACTAGTAGGCATTCTCACAGGATAGTTGAGTTTAATTGCCATTATTTATTCAGTATATGACTTCTTCCAGAGAGCTTCTTAACCAGAGACATGTAATACAAGAGGACATTAGGTAAGTATGGGATTTTTTTTGGAAAGACGGGGTAGGGTGCGTTCACATTCTGCCCCAGTTCATCAGCTTAGCTGGGTCTTTATTTTTCAAAAATGTCAAATGGCTATTTTCCCCATTCATTGTTTTGCAGGATGCTATTTTTGTGGGTATTCTTTGTCATTAAGCTAAGGGATGGTGGCCCCTTTGCCAGCCTCAACAGGTGAATGTTGTGTAGCCAAAGGAAATCATGGAAATTTCATTCTCCTTGCCAAAGATAGCTTTAGAGATGTCCCCATGTGATTCAACTCTGGCCAATAAGAAATCTGGGAAATTCTGCTGTGGTGGGGGGTGGCTTCTAGAAAATATTTTCCTCCTGAAATAATAGATACTAAAGGGAAATCCCTTTTTTAATTGTGAATTCAGTTGTGCAAATGTAATGCCTGGAGCACAGGTTGTCATCTTGCACTCATGAGACAAGTGTGAAGAGGGAGCAACAGGTTGAAGATGGCAGAAAGGAAAGCTGGAAAGCCTCTGGCACCTGACCATGTTTGGCCCACTGGAAACTAGAATCACTTCTCTCCAAAGTACTTGTTCATTTAAATAACAAAATCCTTTTGTTTAAGCTATTTTTAATCAGGTGTTCTACAAACTGTACCTGAAAGCACCTTGATAAACTTTCTAATACAGCCAAGGAGACAAATTGGGAGGTAAATTAAAGAATGCTTAGAAATCACTTCATTATTTTGATGGTTATAATACACATTTATTAGTGTCTTGAAATTGTAAAAGCATTTTGCTTCAATGACATACTTTGTGTGAAGATAGATAATTTACTTCATGAAGATAGAACATTCACATTACATTAACTTTTGTATCAAGCTGGAAATGAGAGAAGCCAATTGATTTGCATGTGAACAACCCTCTTCTTAAAAGGAAAAGAGTATACTATGAGCACACATGAGAAATATTCCAGCAGAGAAAAAAACCTTCCAGGGTAGCACTTCCCAACATTTCCAATGACAAAGGACATCTTTATGGTCCCCTCCCACATAATAGTGGTTGAATTTTAACAAGAGCTCATGGTAGGGGTTGGGGGGTTAATGACAAATTTAATTTAAATATAAAGATAATTTTAATCAGTCTTGTTCTATCACTCACAACAGCATCTCCATGGGTTTAAAAATTATAAAGTGCATGCCAGACATCACTGGTTAGTGGAGAGAAGTGTGATGCCTTTCTAGTTCTCAGAGGTCTACAGCTCTAGAGCTGGACACCATTGTTCTAAAAGACTTTGCCACTCAACTCAAGAAGGTCAAGTTGTTAGAAGGTGATGCCAGGGAACTATTCGTTTCTCCACTGGGTGGTGGTGGGAATGGTTTCACAGCACCACCTCAGACCAGAATTTCTATATTCTGTTGTTTTTTTCTTTAGTGCTATCACGCCTGAAAACCTGACTCATTAACTGTAGAGTTTAGGTAATTAAAATAAGCTGACTGAAGAGAAATTAAACCAGTATGTATAATGCAGATGTCTACAGAAGATGATATTCCCAGGGCTCTAGGGAGCAGGCTAATCAGGCTTTAATCAGGAACTTATCATTCAGAGAGAGAACTAATTCAGCATGGGAGATAGGGAGGGAACAGGAGCACAAGCAGAATCTCAAAAATCTATCTGGATGAACCTCCCCTTGGGAGGGGGCAAACCCTGAAACCCCCTCACACAAAAATGTATGCTGCAGTGGACTGACTCTAGGTAGGAAATTTCCTGATAGCCTGCAACAGAGAGATGCAGATGAATACCTCTCTGGGTTACAAAGCCGGCTTAAACCGGCACTGTTTTAGATCTCTTCTGCCCAATGATTTCCAGAGAAACAACCATGCAGACAGGGTGACAAGGAGAAGTGAGGAATCCCCTGGAGCAGCCTTCTGAGGCAGACACATGTCCTTATCAGGTTAGGGTCCTAGTGTGACAGGATGTGTTGTGTGCTGGGAAGGGAGGGATTGGCGTGTTTCTGAATTCCCAGCTCTGTACGAAACTTTTCTATGAAGTACCTTTTTCTGAAGAAGAGAAAAGGCTCAAAACATTACTCATTTAATTACAGTATATAGTTGACATTCCTGAGCTCTTTCCCATTTTGTAAAGATGTTGATAGAGAATATTTCTCCTGAAAGGGGGAACCAGGAGAAATATGGCCACAGAGGAATACTATATACTTCCATTATCTTCTTCCTAATCTTTACAAACTTGGGCCCAAACTCTGTAAAACAATGTGGAGGGGATGGTGACAGAACCACAGGCTCACAGACTAAGCAGCAAACACTTGATGCCTAAAATGAATATCCATGAAAAAGAATTACCCACAGTTCACCAGTAAACATTCCAAATTTATGGTTTTAAGCTATTAGTCAATGCTGATAAAATGTATATGTTCTCTTCAAATAGCTTTTCAAAGTCTACTATAGTTTGGCCAGCGTTCGTAGGCAAGTTAAAACTTACTGATACATATAAACAAAAAGGACCCCATAGGAGAAACTGCATAGGTGTACATTGTTGAGGAAGGTTTGTGAAAACAAATGAAGTGATTGGCACAATTATTAAATGGAATATGGACTAAAGATTAGATACTAGTATTGTATCCATGTTAAATTTCCTGAATTTGATCGCTGTACTGTGCCTATGTAAGAGAAATGCCTTTGTTCTTAGGAAACACACACTAAAGTATGTATTTAGGAAAAGAGGGGTGAAAGAAAAAAAGTGAGAGTGATAAAGCAAACATGGCAAAATGTTAATAGGTGAATCTGGGTGAAGGATGTAAAGGAATTCCTTTCACTATTCTTGATGCTCTTCTATTAATTACCTTGAAATTATTTCAAAATAAAACATTTACAAACACCATATGAAGTCATTTTAGATTAATGTACTTAAATACTACAGCTGTAGACATTCAGTTTTCTCATGGGATTGATTTTGAAAGAGATCTCTTTCAAAAGACATATCCTATAGTTAAGTCTTTCCAAATTGCAAGGCCACCTTCAGAAGAAAAGGAATTATTGAAACAATCCATGTCTGTTTCATGCTCTGAAATGACTGATTTTTTTCCAACCATGGATCATCATTTACATTTGATTATTTGTTTATGTTAATATCAAATCACTCCTTTGGTATTTTATAGTTCTGAATCCTCATACCATTTACATTTCTCTAGAAGAGATTTCTATCGCCCCTCTTCTTTTGTATCGTACACAGCAATCAACAGACAGCTGAGCAGAATCTTAGGCTCCAGCAGTGCAGCTTTAATAAATGGGGTAAATGCTTATAAAAAACAATTGGAGAAGATTCCATGGACTGTTAGTCTCACAAAACAGAATCCTAGAACGCTCAAATTTCTCATCCTACAGAAAGAATTTCCAGGTGAGGTTATAAAAACTATAATTAATCACAACAAAACCACTTTCAAATTTCTGTTTTTAAAACATTCCCTGAAGTAAAAAGGCCATTAAAGGACTGTATAAGGAATGAAAGGCAAGGATAAATTGAAAAATTAATTTATTATGTAGAAACATAAACAATATTTATTAGCATCAATGGCTGCAGAGAAGCAGCCTGTAAAAACTCACATCCACAATTTACTGGCTGAGAAGTACTGACACATACACACATAATGATAGCACTGATTTTCCAAGGTGGTTTCCAAGGAAGTGCAGCATTTGAAAATCAATTTTAATGTTTATTTTCCCATTTATGAAACTGAAAAGATTAAACCCACATTCAGTTAAAGTCTAGCAGGGTCTCAGGCATTCAAGCTGTAAATTACCAAAAGATGCTGCTATGTCCTTTATGAAAGATGATAGATATAAAAATAATAAACTCATCTTCCATCAAAAGCAGTTTCTCAGACTGCAGTGGGTCTTTTCCCTCCAAGAACTATGTGTTTGGGTGCTAATTTTTGTAAGCAACTAATGGTAAGAGAAGGGCAAGGGCTGAGTTATCTCCAAAAGTAAAGACAGCTTACACTTGCCCTTTCATAAGGTCAAAGGCCAATGTATTCACTCAAGACACTCATGTGGATGATCCTACTTGTTTCTTTTCTAACAGTAAAAAAATAATAATAACCTGTTTATGGATTTGAATAACTATAATAACAACTCCTTCAATATACATGGCACTTTATAATTTAATATTATTCTTTCTGACAACCTTGTGAGGTAGACTGGGCAAGTATATCATCCAAATTTGGTGGATGAGGAAACTGAGGCATAGAGCAGTTAAGTAACTTGTAGGGCTTAACAAGTATACTGTGCTGTCTCCAGTAATGAAAAGAGAAAGTCTAAACATGTTTGATGATCTTATTTCAATACATTTTGAGAAAATACTTGACTTCCATCCAGCCAAATGATAGTAATTCAATTGGAGCAGCTATCATGACAACTTGTGGCATATAATTAATTAGACAAAGCACTGAGAGTTTTAAAAATTGGAATTCTAACTGAAAACCACATTTTAACTCTCAACACAAGAGGGAATTTTCTCATTTGTTTGTCTTTAGGTCAACCTAGATCTGCAGTATGAACTATAATTTTATCCTTTCAGAGATATAATATAAATAATTTTAAAACAAAAATTCTCAGTTCACCATGACAAATTTTCATCATACAGAAAAAAAGCAGTGGTTTCTCTCCCCCAAAGTGAATGAACACACTTGGCCCCAAAGCAAGGGTATCTGTATATCAAGGATTAAAGATGATAAAATGTCCAATTTAGTTACCAAACCTCTTTGTCCTTATATAAGTGGCTTATAATTGGGCTTTGGGAATCTGACAGGCTGTCACTGTTAGTTTGATTTGCGGTCACTCAAATTGTTTACCTATTTTCTACATTAAAATGACTTAAAACATGTTTGAAGACTCAGATTTTATAGTGGTTCTTGAGACAGGCTTCCAAACCGAGGCTAGGAAGTACTAGTCTCTCCATCCCTGTCTAATTCTGACCAAACTCGCCATTTTTAACCCGTCCCCTCACAGTCTGGCTGTTAGAAACTGGATGGGTCAGAAAGTTCAGTCAGCTATTCAGACTGTCAACCCTGACTGACCTGTAATGTCCAGCCTAGTTAGTGACAGGTCATCTGCTTCTAGGTGTTTCATTATCAGGGTTCTTATGGTAGAAATGATGGCACTAAATCCAGGCATTTTCCCAGGACAACTGAGGATATGCTACACAATCCTTTTATGAAACAAATAGAGTTCAGAAGTTATACTGAAGATAGGAGAGCATAGAAGGATAACATTGGAGACCTTGTACAAATTAACTCATAATCACAGCAAATCAAAATGCATTCAGTTAAAGACAAATATCTCCTAGTCATTTCATCACTTTCTATAACTTAAGCTTCTGAAGTCAACATCTAACTCTGTGGGAAGAACAAACCCTTTTTCTTCAACTAATAGAAAATGAAATGTCCTATATACCTGTACTGTGTAAAAGAGTTTTCTAGAAAGTCTCCAACTTTCCTAACAGGCAAGGAAGAAGTGGAGTAAAAACTATGAGTTTTAATTTCTTCTTTCTTAAAAAGGCAAATCCTAGCAAATTATACTAGAAATTTCCCAGAACTGTAGGACAGGACTAAGTTTTGAAGAGGTTTAAGCCTGCCTTCTAGTGGATTCACATCTTCGACCTTCCTGAGAAGTTAAGTACTCTGCTCACAAAAATCTGCATCATTTTGTTGTTTTAACAACCCCAAGTTTGCTCCAGAACTTCTTCAACATATTGAAGGAACACACAACTTTCCTAAAATTCTAGGGCTTCCATAACCAAATTTAGAATTCAATGTTGTATCCATGGATCTTTGGGTATAAAGTCTCTAAAGCTAGACTTTTCAATCAATTAGAGATAGCAGACCAAGGTGGCTACAGTTGCTTAGGTAAAAGAGCACTAAGGAAATGAAAATGGAACACCTGTCTATTCAAAACCCAAACTTGAACAGCCCTCTCTGAAAGCTCTAACAGTAATGATGCTGCCAATGGCAAAACCCTAGTAATCTTCTCTGATCATCAAGCCAGCTCTTGGGTGAAAACTATGCTCAGGGATAATAAAACATTAGGTTACCCAGACCACAAGTCCAGAAAACTAGAAAACAAGAAATCCCCTGACTTCATTCTACCTGATACATCTAACCAGCTCAACTCAGATATCATGGGTACTTTTTCAGTGAAAAAACCAGTAACACCTGGGAGAACATGGTCGACTGTGAATGGTGGTACCTTAGGCTGCTCCTCTAGCACTCAGAAGTTTCCCTGGCTTCTCTCCATAGTTCCCACACACCCAAGAGCTCTCTAAAGGGAAGCAACTCACAAGGAAGTGAGAGATAACTTCCTGCTTTGTTATCTGTGCAGGGCTCATCACTTGTATGAAGAACAGTAATCAACCCAGAAAACAATATGTCTTTGCCCCAAGAGACTCAGGTCCCATTAAGCAGAGCAGAGATCATCAGCATTCAAGATCTGGCTAGGCATAGAACTTATTTTACTGCTAGAAGGTGTCTCATCTCTATCTCCGGATGACCTTACATCTGCCTTTCCTACAGAATCTGAGGATTTCTGCCACCGGCAATGACAGCAAATACACTTTAGCCACCGCTGAAAGCTTTCAGAAACACTGGAGGAAAAGAGCTTTTTGCAAGGGTGGAAGAACTGATAGAATACCAGCATGAAGAGAATGGCTGTGCAGTACCCAATGAGCAACTTCAAAATTAACAGAGGTGCACACACATACATATAGATGTCAGTCTTGTAAAGATACCACATAAGGAGGAGGAAGGCGTTCTCAATGAATCTCAGCATGTAGTACACCAGTAGCCGGTACCAGTTCTGGGACTTGCTGATGAGGTCAGGGCTGTTGATTTTCAGCTGCACAGCTGACCAGCAGAACATGTTGATACCAGCATAAAGTAAGGTGAGGAAGCACAGCACGATGGTAGTGCCCACTCGACTGAGGGCCTTCTCGATGTTCTCAGGGAATGGGGAGCCACTGCACCAGAAGAGGATCCAGGGGTAAAAGAAGAAGCTGAAGAAGTTAATGAGTACAACCAGTACCACCCAGGCCTTCAGGACAGAGGTAAAGAGGACCAGGACAAAGACTCGAGTGGCAATCTCAAAGCTCCTCCAGAGGAAGATGCAGACATAGGCCAGTGGCTTCACTTTGACATCGTATTCATCATACTTGATCTTGATGGCTAGAATGTTGCAGCGCAAGGCTCCATATACAATGGACAACAAGGATAGCAACATGCAGACACCTAGGGAGAGATGAGAAAGCACTGTCAAGTCTCACCTCCACCAAGAATCTTACTATGGCAGATACTCCGTCAGTCCTCTACCCATATTCCTTGGACCATTCTGTTTTATGTGCGCAGCCTGACTTCTACCTTCAGTTTCTGCTCACTGTGCCTGAGATCTTTTTCCAGGGCTGTAGAAGGCTGCTCTTCTCAGGTGCTGGATAGCTCCAGGAGAGCCCTCAATACCCCAATTGTAGCCCTGATAATAGCTGGAATGTAACTACCCTAGCTCCCCCACCCTTTGAGTAGAATAACTCTGAGGTATGTATTCTATACTGTTTACCAGTAGTTTTTCATAGGGTTACTTTCTAGTCATCCATGGTGATAGCTGTCTAATAATGCTTACTTTATTGGCTGCCTTCCTTTCCCTGTTTCCTTTCCCTTCTCCCATGTTCCTTCCACCTTTCCACCAAAAATACATGAACTCAAATCCTTGTCTCAGGGTCTGCTTCAGGGTCAACTCAAACTAAAGCACCTTCCTGACCCCATTCTTGCTCTGTCTAAATATGTAGAGTCCTTTATATGGTGTATTTTGTTTCCTCAATTGGCTTATAAGTTCCTGAGGAGTCAAGAGTGACAATGTCTGGTATTTTGTCTTGATCTCAACATATACGAGTAAGTAGTAGGTACCCAAAAAGAAGGCACTCAATAATAAATTGCTCAGTCAGTTTCTTTCTAACTGCAGGACGTTTTACATTTATATACTGACTGTAGAATACTCACTTTTCCTTACTCTTCAGTTATATTCTTAAATTCTGCAGATTGCTAAAGAAATGAGAAACTCACTGTTACTGAGTCAATCTGCCTTCTTGAAAGACCACAGTGTTTCAAGAAGTCTCAACTCTAAGCTGTTTCTCTCTTAAAAATGACTTATGGCTAATGGGTTTATCCAGGATTGTACCAAGCAGCAGAACAAGATGTGGTTCATTTAAATGGAGCATGGCACTGTGTTTGAGAGCACCACACTGTTGGCTGTGAGTTCTACTATCTAAGAAATGTGCCGCCAACTCATGAGCACAAACTGTGAGGTCAAAACATAAATATAATCACAACACGGGCTGCCACCAACTCCAAATACTGGAACAAGGAGGGACAGGAGGCAGGGCTTGGAGTTAGGAACCAAGAATCTGGCTCTGGATTTAGTCTTACCTTGCCAGGCTACACTGGGGAAATGGCAATCTCTCTGGGTTCTGTTTTCTCACCCATAAAATTGAGGTAACACCTTCCATGCCTGATTCTTAAAATGCAATGTCATTGTAACATAACTGCCTTTTCCTAAATGTATAATTTTAAATGCATGGGAATAAAGGTGTTTTTTTTGTTTTTGTTTTTTTCTTATGTAAGTTCTGAATCAATGGGGAAAAAAATCTATATTTGGTGGGCATAAAAACTCTGAAACCTTGGTACTTATTTGCCTGGGAGAAGCTCAATTTTACTCAAAGCATCAACTTTTCTCACAGTCTTTGGCACTGATTTAAATCATCAATATCATTCACTGGAAAGACTGTTATCTACCAAAATTTAAAAGATAGAGATACTATCACAGGAGTAAACTGGGAAGTAACTGGACTGAGTTATTTTTCTTGAGAGGTTAATTCAGTGAAATATTATAAAGCAATACATATTGTATACTTACAAATTTCTATACCCTAAGAATCTAGTATCGAATCCTTTTCTTTTAGTCCTTATGACTTTTCCACTATAAGAAAAATACTTCAAATGCAGAAAATAAGCTAAGTATAAAAAACTAAAATGTAAATTATGTATTCATACACATATAGTATTTATATTGTTATATTTATGGTACTTTAACTCCAAATTATTTATTACTTTTAACAATGCAATGACCCAAACAATTTTTAAGCATCTATCCATTTTTCTCCTTAGGTCGATTATTTCCAAGTTATATCTTTTTCTCTATCAAGAGAGTTACCCAATTATTACCCAATTGATGCTTAGTAGTAATCAACCACTGAAACCTTCTGAGAATGTAAAGAAATTATCTTGAAATCACTGACTTCAATGATCACTTCCGGTATTGGGTGCTCACTGCAAAATGCTACAGATAGAAAGGGGGGCAGGAAGAGATACACTTGGGAGACAAGAAACTTGTAGAAAATGAGTGGAATGTACATTTCTACTTGTAGAATTAAGCTGTTATCTAATGAATGGCTAGGATGATCTCATGCAAATATGTACTTATTCAGACTTAAATGAAGTTCCCAGATACCATTTCCAAAACTTATCTTCCCACAGTCAACACACAAAGAAAAAGGAACAGTTGACAGTCCCACCTATTTAAGTAGCACTTCACAGAAGTCTAATATCCCCTAATAATCCTATTCTCATTTCCTATGAGTGTGTGTGTGGGG